GCAAGGAAACTGTTCTTTTGATATGTTTATAAATTCCTCCCGTCTCTTAATTTGTTAGTTGTGACCTCGAATTCTCACTTCATTTTTCTTATTTCGAGAAACATGATGTAGAGGTTTTCTGCTGATGTCTTTACTTGTAAAATGGGATACAGTAAATTAAGCACAACTTTTGGAGCTTGATGTTTGGAGCGTGGCATGGGGAGCAGATCTCAATGAGATGTTGGGTTTTGGAAACTTTAGAGGCGATGAAATTTCCCGTGCGACTCAAAACATTCCGTGGATTACCATTTCGTTATTTTCTTTCTAGTCCTTCAATCTTTCTTCTTTTTGGATTACAGTACCTCAAATCATTGTTAGGTCCCCCAATAATTAAAAAAGTTGTTTTAAATTAGTCCCGCTAGTTAGCTCGCTTTTTAATTTATTAAAGGAAATACTCTTTCTACTGTAACTTTTAGAGTGGAATGTCAATTATACTTTGTTAATACAAATCCAAACTTGATTAATTTGGGTGAGAGCGAAGAATTTTTTGGTGTCGATTTTGAGATCTAGAAAGAGAGAGTAATTTGGTAGTTGCCATGGTGTTTTTCTCTTTCTTTATGAGGAAAATCCTGTTTAATTAAGATTTTGAATAATATTTATATGTATATAGTAGTGGAATGTCCGCTTATTTATTAATATCATCTGTTTTTCAATATACGTTGGTGTTGGGCATGTACATTGCACTGTACGAGATCTAACAGGATGCAAACAAGTCATATTTTCTTTTGGTTCCAACAATTTCCAAGTAAATTCTCAACATGTGATTGTATTCAATGAGGACATCCAAGACTCCTCATTAAGAATCACCGTGCGAATTATTTTTAGTGTGAAATCTCATTAATAGATGACATAATGCTTGTTGAATTCTCGTGTGCACTAGAGCTATATTTGCATCGAAAAAATTTGACTCGGAACTTCACAAGCATTCAAATTGTGAGAGAGACGGCGCATTAATTTTCACTCTACGAGTAGATAGTATGCTATCACTTTTGATTTAAGAAAAATGATTTAAGGACCCAAAATATGGGACCAATGGAGGGGACAGGTGAGGTGTCCCCTCTCTATTGCATAATAAGTTGGCCATGCTAACTCAGTAATAGGGAGGGGACACCTCACATGTCCCATCCCTTGGTCCCATATTTTGAGTCTCCGTAGCAGCACTCTTGATTTAATTTGATTAGTTAGGCAAAATCGACTCCATCTCAAGCAACATGATGGAATAATTTATTGTTTAGTGGTAACAATAGACTTTGATACCTGGTAATAATCCAGTCTAAATCTGAATTTATGATCCTTATAATTAAATTTGGGAATTTTGATTAAAACCCAATAAGTTATTGAAATTAAGATTGTGTTTATTAAGTCACCGTGAGTTTTAGTATGAGATATTAGGCTTAGCCCACGAGCATAATGTGAATAGACTAGGTAGGCCTGGGGCTATGGGCTCAAGGTAAGTCTAATTAAGTAGGCTGAGCCCAGTGGCTTACTAAACTTTGCAGCAGCAGCTTAGTCAAATGTCCCTCTCTGAAGGTTAATTGTCCATTTTCATGGGGCATAACGCAGTAACATTTACAGTTGAAACGAATTTTTACCAGAAGTAATGTTTATAATTCTTTGGATACAACTTAAAATACCACTTACAGATTTTAATTCCAATAGTATCAGACGAAATGCAAAAGATGCATTAAATAATGTATAAGTTAAATTTCCAAGCTAAGCTCTCACCCGCATAACCTATTACCAAGTTTCACAACTGTCTCAATTTGAGATGGAGACAGAACTGAGCTGGGTCGGCGTAAAGCGAGTGCGGCTATCACTCGCTTCAAGGGGTGGGTGTTGGGTTTAGTTTTTGGTAATTAGGGTTCAGTTATTATTATAGATTGGGCATGGGCACCCGTTTGTAAATTCCTAAAAAATAATTATTACAAGATTTGTCAACCAAAGACGTATGTAGAACTTGTTGTGCCAAAAGCTGTGTCGAGGAACCAAACCAAACGCCAATCCAAGAGAGCCAAACAAACTAAATATCAATGCACAAACAAAACATCAATTTTAACGTGGTTCGACAAGTTGCCTATGTCCACGGGGCAAGAAGGGGATGTGGTTTTCACTAATAGAGAAGAAGAGTACAAATTAAGATTACAAATCACTCGAAGGAACAAACTAATCTCACCAACAAAACTCTTAATCTCTCCAAACAAAACCATAACCAAAAGCTCAAAAAATATCTCTTTTTGTGCTCCAAATATCCCTCAATCAATGCTTAATCAAAGCCCAATCAAAGCCTAAACAAAGCCAAAGAAACCCTAAAAAACGTGTCTCTATTTATGGACGTATCCAAATCATGTCCACCAGCTGCAACCGAATCCAAAACCAATCCATCATTTGCATCCGAAATCAAATGATCCCTAACCTGTGACACCTCAGCTGGAATTCCAAATGACGCAGTATGATCTAGAGTATGTGGAATAAGTTCCACCCAACGTGAAGTAGCATCACCCTCCACCTGCTACGATATCCAAACGACCTGATCAACACTCTCCACCTGCCGAGAGTCAAAAGTGACATACCTGTTCAGAACAAAATCAGAAGCTCCCAAACGATAATCAAATGAGCCTCCGAATCCCAAACGCGCAATCGGATCAAATCTCACATCCTCGATGTGACCAAATATTGGGTAACCAAATATCCGACGCCGACCAAAATCTGAAGCAGCTCTACCAGATCCAATAACTCCTAATGCAGCAGTCGGCGACCTATGACTAAGATGACCCAAATATGTCGAAGCTCCGGAACCAATGCTCGACAACCAATGTCGATCATCCTCTAGAAAGGAACGACCCATCAAAACTGTCATCTCATCTTGTCGCCCCAAAGTCTCCACACCAATGAAGTGTCTCCTATTGCCGTGAGCTCGGCATAAACGCAAGAAAGGACCCCTACCAAAGCTAGAACAACGAGTTACCTTTCTGCCAATACACTTCTTCCAATTGTTATTGACTTCTAGGACTTTACGCCAACGGGAACTGGTCGCGATCCAATAATGCCTAGAACAATCACCAATTATGGAAACTACAAAACGATTACCTCCCAATGATGCCTCCTTGGAAGGCCCCCAAATGCCTAACTGAACACCTCCTAAAAGACCCCTCGCTTGATGGATAGGAGTGCCAAACTCCACCTCGGTCTTGCTCATCCCAATATGCTCAAAGGACTTCCATCTGCAGGTCAAAGCACTCCTCAACAACCTATGCACGACATCACCAATCAAATACCCCAGCACCAAACAACGCCACAATCTAGCCAAACCCAATGAAGTCGTCAGAGCTCTATCAATCACCGTGCTCCCAAGCAAATAGTATAAGTTACTCTTTCTGGCGCCCTTCATCACAATCATGGACCCAAATGTAACCTTCAAGCATGTATCCGCCAAGGTCACCCTATAGCCTGCTGCCTCCAAAGCTCCAAGTGAAATGATGTTCTTCTTCAACTGAGGAACGAACCTCACTCTAACTAACTCCTGAATCACCCCGTCA